ACTTCCTCGTCTGGAGGCAGGCTCTGTTTGGATTTTGTTTTGCAATTTTTACTGAGCTCCTTCCTTGCCAGGACATTCAACATATGTTAGAGCTGCTGCCTCAGTCCTCGATGCCCAGATAGGAGGTGGGAGCAGGAATCGCCTTCTCTAGGAAACTGGGTCCGAATAGAAAGTGAGTGGATAAGCAAGTGGGAGAGTCAGGATCGGAATCTGTGTCCATCTGAGCCCAAAGTCCAGAGCATTTTCCTTAAGCTTGTGGTACCTTTTCTTTATCTTCTATTTCTCCACCTTTCCTGTTAGGAAACTCCTATATCCTGCCCTTGGGGGAACACCATGTACCCCACTTTCTGCAGCACTGCCAAAGCTAGTGGAGTATGAGTGCAGTGCTGTGACCTCCATTCAAATGTAGCCAGGGTTCAAGGACAAGATGGACTTGGTGCTTTGTTTTTCTGAGGAGATCTGGGGGAAACCACAGGGAAATTCAGGGGGTTGTCGGATTCCTATAAGTACTGGGATGAAGCCACTCGGAAGTGACTGTCACACCTGCTTCTGGGGATCTTAAGTTGGTTGCCAAAATTTGGGCTCTTTTGAAGGCTTTTTGGAAGGCATTGCTGATTCTTTCTTCATCAGCTGGTATAAATACATTCTCATACCTTGTGCATAGAGTTCCTGCCAATTTTGGTTTCCAATCAAGACTGCTTTTCAAGGTTCTCATACCAGGCATTGAACCTAGTCCACAGATTAGACAAAATCAACCATGGACAAGAGCGGAGAGACTCAGCAGGCTACTCATTGCCTGGAGGTACTGCTGGAGTGGTTCAATTATTTATTTCTTAACGGAAGACATCACTGATATTTAAAAACAGATAGTGTCAAGATGGTATATCAGTTAGGATATGGCTGAATTGCTATAACAAAGAAACTCAACACTAATATAACTCTTAAGAGTGAAGCTTATATATCTCCTACTTAACAGTTCAGGTAAGCCTTTGAGGTTGGTGGGAAACTTAGCTCCATGTAGTTATTCAGAGATTTAGATTCCTTATAAATCATTGTTCCCCCCATCTTATTGTGATAGACTGAATTGGAGCTGGTTCCTACCAAGCCTGGGTTGGAGGCTGTAGGAAGAGGAAAGCGTGTGGAGCAGGACTTCTGCTTCTGTTATATCCTCCTCTCATACTGTACTTGAGATAAGTCATATGCTCACATCTAGCTGCAAGGGAGGCTAGGAAATCAATGCAGTTGGGCAGCCGTGATTCTTTGACTATGGAGCAAGGGAGCTTAGACTTTGGATAGCTAGAGCTGGATGTACCTTGCTGGTCTAGCATGTCATAGGGGAGGAGATGTTGGCTCTGGGCTGGAAGGACCTGGGTTTGAATCTTGGTTCTTCCAGTCAGAACTGGGCAAGCTGCCTCATCTCTCTGATCTTTGCTTGCTTCAAATGCTATGGCTACCTTAAATCACTATTGGGAGCTTGATAGTATCATCCAGGGCTGTAAGAAAGTTAGCTTGAGGCAAGGGGGACTGGGCCTGAGGAACAAGTCATCACCTAGGACCCAAAGGCAGGACTCAGAGATGGCTCATCATGGGCAAGGACCAAAAGGGGAGCTGGAAGGATTTGAGGGCAACAGGAGGCAAGAGAGGGGAAACCAAGGAGTCATCAGTCCACTAGCAAACACTACGGGTCCCAGACGTACGATCAATCCCGACAGCATCTGTTTCTTTCTGTCTCTACCTCTCACCCTTGTCCAAGTCACCTTTGAGCCTCGCCTGGGCCACAGCAGCCTCCCAGTTCTACCATCTCCATTCCCGTGGTCTCAAACCCATTCTTTCTCACAGCAGCCAGAAGCTTACAAACATTAACACCTGGTCTCCTGTGAAGCCTGCACTGCCCTTGCACAGCATGCAGAATAAAACTCCAGTGCAGCATCATTTTACTCAGCCTCATCAAATGTAGCCCTGCTCTAAGACCTCTGTCATTTGGTTCCCCTGTCTTTGCTTTAGTCGTGTGGCCCAGCTGGATCCAAACGTGTCATCTAAAGCTTACTCCTGCCTCTGGGCCTTTGCACTGTCACCTTGTGTGGAGGACTCAGGACCTCCTCCTCATAGTCATTCACACCTCAGTATAAAATCCCAGCATGACCTCTTTTTATGATGTTACCCTGCTTTAATTCTCTGCACAATATCTATCACTTCAGAAATTTCTCACTAGCTGACTTGTTTATTGTTATGCAATTTTCAGACATTGTCAGCCCTCAAAATAAAATCTTGCTAAAAGCAGGGAACTGTCTATCTTGATCTTGGATGCATCCTCTTTGCTTAGGAATAATTTCCAAGTGTACTGCCTCTAACCCTTTAAAAAGTTAACCAAATATTTTCAACCTCTTTCCACTTTAACAAACACACAATTAACATATCTCTACACTTCTCCATTACTTACAGTTACTGTAACTAACTCAGACAGGTTGCTAGTGTTGGATAGTTACTGAATATTTTAATATTGGGACATCTTTTCACACTCTTCATTCTGCCTAAAATACATTTGCACATGTGAAATAACTGAGTCAAAAGTTACTCATATGTTTTGGAACTTAATATGTGAGGCAAAACTGGCTTCCAGGGCAGTTGCAGTTGTTTTTGCTCTTCTCTATGGAATATGAGAAGCCAGGTTCCCCTGGCTCTGGGAAAAGGATGATTATAACTTTTTATTCTGCCAGTTTGATGTACTAAAAATGCCACTGTATTGTATCAGTTTATTTAAGACATTCCCAGGGGTGTTGAACATCTTTCTTCTGTTTATAGTATTTACTTTTATCTTTTTCAGGTTGTTGGTCTACAAACATGGCCCTTTTTTGAAACGAGCACTTGGTTTTTCTTAGCATGGGTTTCCTCGTTTGTCTGCGGGGGGCCACAGTCAAGCGCGGGGGCGTTTGCACCCTCAGCTCCCGAGAGGCACCCTCCTACCTGTGATTAGAACAGAAGTTGGATGGTGCCCGTGCCTGGGAACAGACGTGTGAAGAAGTCGCTGTGACTGAGAGCCCAGGGATTACATACCCCAGGTCAGGGGCACATTCCCCCAAGGGCCTCCGGACGCGGACAGATTGCTTCTGAGTGCAACAGGGAATTCTCCACTTGGCCCACGGCTGAGGCAGTGGGCGGCTGTCAGGGTGAGTACCCATTTCTCCACGCTGCAGACGTGTTCAGCTGCCCCCAGCTAACCGACCGGATGGGCATCCATGACCACTGTGGCATGAGAGGCCCCCCGGTCATCAGGGAGCCTCTGCATTGGTTGAGCCTTGGAAGACGTGCAGATGTTCTTCCATCCCCTGCGGGAGCCTCGTCACGCTTTGGGCCAAGCCTCTGCCACCCCAAGGTGGGATCATGAGTTCCAGGCTGACCCTGAGCATGGGAACCCGCACCGAGGTCCACGGTGGTTGTCGAGGAGTACCTCCATTTTTGTTCTTAGCCTTCTATTTTTCTGCTCTTCTTTTCCATGGAAGGGAGGGCGTGAGTTCCAGAGGAGTTGTTTCATTCTCCTGGCCATATACTGGAGATATTCACAGCAGGAAACTGCAGTCTGAGACTCACCGATGGTTTCTGAGAGAAGACGTGGATACCAGCTCAGAGCCATAACCATTGCAGTGGGGGAATGATGCCAAGACCTTGCCCGGAAGCCAACAGTGGGCACCTACGTGCGTTACATTATTCTTTCTTAAAGCAAGCAATGGAGATCAGGTTATCTGCAGGAAAATGGACAGAACTGGAGACCGTCAGGTTAGCAAAGGAAGCCAGACTTTGTCAAATGTCACGTTTTCTGTCAAAGGGGGATTCTATTTGTTGTTGTTTTGTTTTTGTTTTTTTTGGTTTTTCTCCGGTACCGGGAACTGAACTCACGACCTTGCGCTTGCCAGGCAGGCGCTTTTGCCCTGAGCTAAATCCCCAGCCCCTGTCAAAGGGGGATTCTAAAAAAAAAAAATCAGAGAAATAGAAAAAAGGAAAGTGATCAGAGGAAAGCAGAGGGCAGATAATTAGAGAAGGGACCAGGGGAGGGGAGAGGGAGGGGGAAGAGGAGTAACGGGGGTGAAAATAAACAAAACATGTTACATGCGTGTGTGGATGTGCTAAAATAAAACCCGCTGTTCTGTATGACTACCATACACTGATACAATATGGAGAAAATTAAAAATGAGTAATATTGGGAAAAAACGAAAAAGAAACAAGGTGAAAGGAGAAAGTTATTTTTAAAATAGCCTTTCTTAGAAAAGTAAAAATCTGACAAATGTGTAGTTCTCACTCCAGTTTTTTTTCCTTTTCCCTGTGAGATCCCCAGTCATTGACCCCTTTGCCCAGCAAGCTTTCCACGTCACGTGGCTGTGATGGTTTGGCATCAGGGGAAGGTGCTTTTGCAGAGCTCCAGAAGAACGACCCCCAGCTTGCTGTGAGCCAGCTCTGTCTTTGGCCTCTTCTGGCGTCGAGACGCTGCGGAGCAGGTGGGTCCTGACTGGCACCACCGTGGGCGGCAGGCACCGCACAAAGGCTGAGATGACTCCGGAGGGAAAGCGAGGGGAGCGCCGCCTCAAGTACTGGTTCTCCTCCTCTCCCCACCTGATGTTGGCTTCCTAGGATCGGATCCATTGTAGGAATCGCAGGTCCCCAGAGAAATGATTCCTTTAGGGGCCAGTTTATTCAGCGGAAGTTAACTTGCTTGTTTTTAAATAATCAGAGTCCGGATATTGGATTCTTAATTTTGGAAAACTCAAAAATAAAGCAAAAAGATAAATAGAAGTTTCAAAAAAAAACTTCATTATTTTGCTTCTTGTGGAAAGAAATGCATGATGTGGAGCTTTTGGAGCTCAGAACTGGAAAACAGAGAGAATCAACGCAACGGATTCGGAGCTGTGCAGGCTGAGGGTCCCCACATCGCTTCTCCTTGTCATCGTTCTGGATAGTTCATGGGCCAGGCAGCTTTCCAGGTATTCTTCGGGAGGAAGAGGCCGGTCTCATATTCCTGGGAGAAAAATCTTCCTGATTTTCAGCAAGATCTTGCATTTCACCTATGGCTTCTGAGTCTTGCACAGGGTCAGTGATTGCAGTTCAGGCAGTAGAACAGGCCAGGCTGGCTTTTGCTGGCTCCTCCCGCATTCCCCTCCCTCCAAGGATAACTTCAATTTCATTGGAGTTATATTTAAACAGCAGCCTATGAAACAACAGAAACAAGGTGGGAACCCCGTCCGTCCTATTTTGAGGCCATCTTGCCTGTTTGCCTGCGACAAGACCCTCTAGCCCTCACATATAGGGGTCTCTGGGTGACTGGCTGCCCAGGGACTGGGAGTATGGGTACAAATGGTGCACGCTTGGAGGTCGGACAGACTTGGGAAAGGTAATTTAAAAATCTTAAAGGCTGAGGGAAAGGAAGAAAGGGACAAGAGGGAAAAAAGGGAATAGAAGGGGAAAAAATGCAAACAAAGCTTCTGTAAATAAGGAGGGGAAGAGAGATTGAAGGGAGGGGATGAGGAATGGGAGAAAAAGAAGAAACAAGATACATCATGTACAGGTACAAATTCCCTACGATGACTGTTAGCATAATGTGTACCTAAATGTACCAGTAAAATAAATTTGCTGTAAGAAAACTTGAAGGCCGCAGACAAAGCCCACATCTGCGTGACAGGGTGGAGAGCCGGGGTTCACTCCAGGAGGACTAGGACCGGTGAGGGGACCTCTGGGCAGCAGCCTCAGAGCAAAGTAGGGGGACTGTGGGTTTCTGCCAGTGTAGGGGCAGAGGAGGGGGAGCCTCGCTGCCGCCTGTCCCGTGTAGGGAGGTATCTGTGGGGAGCTCCGGGGAGCGGGGCAGGAAGGCTGGATGCCTCCAAGGCAGAGCAGGCGGTGGTCTTCTGCCACTTAATATCCAGAGGACCCTAAAGCCTCACTGCAGAGCCACCAGAAGCCCTGGCCCTGGGAATCTTAGCAAGCAGCTGCAAGCCTCTGCCTCTTCTAAAGGAGTAAACACTGCTCATGCAGCCTTCACACCAGTTTTAGTACTTTTATTATCTGACTGTGAAATAGTCATAAAGGAACAGTACTAAAATTATGGTGAAGAAAAAGGATTTGTGAAACCATAACTGAATCTACTTACACCTGAGAAATAGAGCTTAGGTGTGTGCTAAGCGTCCTACGCTATAGAAAATGTTGGGAGGCTGAGTCAGGAGGATGGCAAGTTTGAGCCAGCCTGGGTAACGTATGTGTGTGTGAATTTAGCGGCTGTCCAAACCCCAGGGATCGGAGGGCTACAGGTGGGAACCAAGCAGCTGGGTGTTCACAAAATCAGATCCCTCCTTCCACCTTCAGTGGTAGAAATGAGCTTCCAAATCTTTGTCTTCAGCCCAGACACCATGTAGGTTTTGAACACTGATATCCAGGTGCCTCTGAGCTTCATGATGTTCCACAGGCAAATTTAACATATTTAAAGAACTCTTCTCCAACTGAGTTAAAAACCTGACCTTTACCCTGGGTTCTTCCCTCTTCCTTACAGTCACCATACCTCCCCACTTCCGGAAGCATTTCTGGAATCCCCGCCCTCAGCCCTCTGCCACGGCCTAGCTTTGCTCCCCAGAGACCGTCATCAGGGACTTGGAAGGCTCCTCCACGGGGTGAGCTTTTGCAAGTTCTCATTGTCTACATCACTCCAGTGCTTTACCCATCTCAACACCGACTGTCACTAGGGAAGCGCGGACAGGAGGCCACCACACACCATCAGAAGGGCTAAGATAACATGGCGACAGTACCAAAAGCTGGCAAGGATGGGGAAACACCGGATCACTCGTACACTGGGAATGCAAAATGGCACAGGCTGTCTGGAAAATGGTCTGACAGTGTCTTTAAAAAACTGAAACTTCAACGGCCATCAAACCTTACGATTGTACTTACCCTGGTGATTTCCTGGGGTGGGGGTCTGTTTACATGAAAACCTGTACACAGATGGTCCCCGCAGCCTTATTCTTGACAGGCTGTCCTTTGCGAGCTCACGTGTCTTTCCACAGGTGAATGGTTAAGCGAACTGTGGTACCTTGGGACCCTGCCGTCCTGCTCTGTCCAAAATGAATTACTGATGTGTGTCATACACAAAACGGATGAATGGCCAGGAAGTGAAGCCAGGCATGAGAGAAGTAAGCCCACAAGCATGTAAATGTGTGATTGTGTTTACACAGCAATGCGAAAATGACAGAATTTTGTGAATGGAGGACTGCCAAATGGTTTTCAGGCATTTGGGGTGGAGGGCAGGGATGGAAGTTCGTGTGCTTTTTTTTTTTGAGCCAGGATCTTGCTCTGTAGTTCAGGGTGGCCTTGAACTCACTATGTAGGCCAGGCTGTTCTCCAGCACACGATCCTCCTGCCTTAGCCTTCCGGGTGCTGGGATTACAGGTGTGCACCACCACACCCAGCCTGGGTGTGCTTATGAATGACAGCAGAAGAGATCTTTGTGTGAGATGGATAGGGAATAAAGTTGCATCGACCTAACGGACCCCAACAAGCACAAATAAAACCTGGGAATCCGAGCAAGATGAGAAAGATTGTATATGCATCAGTATATTGGCTTTGTTACCGTTCTACACTTTTGCAAAATATTACCATTCAGGGAAACTAAGTGTACAAGAGGTTTCTTTACTATTTCTCACGACTGTATGTGAATCTACAGTGATGTCAATTTGTCATTTCTAAAAAAAATTAAAATTATTCTTATTAACAAAATTTTTATTGTAGTGAAATACACAGTGTGAAGTTTGCCACCGTCACCGTCTGAAGGCCTGAATTCTGTGGGATTAATTACATTCTCATTGTTGAGCAATCGTCACCCGCTCCCGTCTCCAGGACTTTTGCTTTTTCCCCAACTGGAACTTTGCACCCTCTAAATACTAACTTCCCCTTTTCCTGCCCCGTTAGTTTTTATTTATCTGAGAAGAACCTACAAAATCAGAACTCCTCCTTAGGTCTCCACCCCTGAGGACAAGCTGTCTCAGTGCCCGTGAGCCGCCCTGCCTCAGGCATTGCCACCCTGCTGGCCCCCCCCCCCAATCTCGCTTTACTTCGCAATCCGAACACTCCCATTTCTCTACCCAACCCACCTGGTTGCGGGGCCCAGGAAGGGGTCTTAGTAGTGTGTGCACATGGCCGCACATTTTGTAAATTTGCAGAAGCGAGACATGTGGACTGCAGTTTGGAATTTTCTCTTTAGGTCTTCCTGGCATCTCCACTGCATTCGAAGTCACTCACTATTTCGACACTTCGCCTCTGTCGCATGGTTTCTTTTTAGGTTTGCTGAGCCTGGAGTTTTCTTTCATGAGACTCTCGTGAGGATGTCTGCTTGCTATGGGGCTGTTCAAGCCTCACAAAATGGGACCATGGGTCAAGACCTATGAAAGATATTTTCAAAGGCTTGGAAGACAGAAGCCTGTAAGTTGATAAAGCTTGAATATGCATTCTTCTTGGAATTGGGAAATAGGTTGTGGAATATTTCAATAACAGAAGGGAAAAATTACAGACTCTGATTTGGATGTAGATGAAAGCAAACTTAATTTGCTATCATCAAATTAATTTATTAAAAAACAGAGTGCTGGGCAGGGTGGAACGTGCCTGTAGCCCCCGTTATTGGGCTTAGAAGGCAGGAGGTTTGGTTGAGCTCAGGAATTTGAGGGCAGCCTGGGCAACAGAGTGAGACCATCTCTTAAGAAAATCAAGGGAGGAAGGGAAAGGAAGAAAGAAAGAAAGGGAAAGAGAGAAAGAAAGGAAGGAAGGAAGAAGGAAAGAAAGAAAGAAAGCAAGCAAGCTGAATACATGCAGGTAAACTTGATGGATTGTGAACAAAATATGCTCAAAATGAACACTGAAATCAATAGAAAACATTCTGGCCTAAAAAACTGTAAAAAATTTAAAAGATAGGTTTAAAGAAAATATTCATTGAGAGAAAGATATTCTACTACTTCTAATAAAGGGAATGATAAGTCCTTGGGTACGCTGATAACCCAGTTAATTATGAGGACTGCATCATATGAACACAATCAAAAATAGTCAAATTTCTTGCTGATTTCCCCCAAATTAGTGATATCTACGAGATAAACTTTTAATATTCACAATAACAAGAAATCAGCCACAACTGGACAAGGGGTTTCACAAATTCAAAGAATTCAGAGACTTCCAATTAGTCATTAGTCAACCCTGAATTCTGAAAAATCGTAGCTCCTCTAAAACCTGGGAGGTTTTCTGTTGTACCATCACCACCACCCCCACCCCCAACACATGACCAAGTCAGAAATCAGCTGGAACATGGAATGATTTTCTTCTAGATTGTTATGGATAAAAATAAAATTTCTGTCTGCCTTGCCCTTAGAATGAATTGTGTTTTCTGTGTAGATCAAATATCA